TCTATTGTATCTCTGTCGAATTTCTTTTAATTTGTTGGTTTTTTAATTTGCAAAGAGAAGGGTGGTTGGGTTCGGCTGGGGGTGGGTGTGGGGCCTGGGTTGCCACTGATGCTGGGGGTAGTCTAGGTTGTTGGGGAGAAGAATATACAGAGGGGAGAGGGAGATCACACACAGAGAGAGAGAGAGAGAGGGAAAATGAGGGGGAAGAACTCTGGGAAGGGTGGCTTGGGGATGAAGATGATGGGTTTTTTATTTTTTTGTTTTTTTAAATTTCTTATATTTAAATATTCATATACACCTAATTTATTAAGAGAAGGAATATTGGTGGGGGATGAGTGAGGTCAAAGCCTTAAATCCATAATTTTTAAAAGACAATTTTTAATTGTTTTTTTTCACACATGGCATTTAGTTTAGCCAAATAGTGGGTCCCATTGGTGCCACATCAACTTTTTTAATAGAATTTTTAACAGACTTGACGGTGGAGGGCAAAGTGAGACACAAAACATTGGTCAAGGGGGTAAAGTGGGTCACTTTAACTTTGAGGGGGTAAAGTGAGAATTGACCAATGTTTCAAGAGGCACTGTAGCACTTTAGCCTTTATTTTATTGTTTATTTCTATTCACGAAGAGGAAAAGAGAATCTGATTAGGAAATCTTTGTCAAACCCATTAGAGAAGAGATGGAAGAGGAAATTACTTAATTCCATCTTTAAATCCTGCAAATTTGGAGCAGTTGATGATTCCTGCGTTTCTAACTTGTTTCCCAAATTTCTATACTTTCTGGATTTCTTATTTGATTATCTTTTCTATTTGGATTAGGATTTCTTTCCTAGAATAAGTTTAATTTTCTTTTCACTCTAGGGTTAGATTGTTATAAATACACCCCCTTCCCCCTCCTCCTATGTAATAGAGATTTGAGTTATTGAGTAAAGTTTATTTTGCAGAGATTGGAGAATTCTTGGTGTGAAGCCATTGCATCTTTACCCATCTATACCACTGAACTACCTAAACCCTATCCTACATCAAAATCCACAGCTTCAGCCACCCAAATACGAAACACAGAAATGGGTCCTTTTATAACAGATGTTCCAATGTCTGTCCTTCAAGATGTTATAATAAAGCTGCCAACAAAGAGCATTATCATGTGCAAAAGCGTCTGCAAGACTTGGTATTCTCTAATTTCGGAACCTGCATTTGCTAGGCTGCATTTCGCACAAGCAGAGGCCTATCCTATGGTCCGGCCTATGGATCGAAGAAGCGTGTCAAGAAACCTTTTCTTGGTTGAGCTTGAAGATAGCTCTGGTTTTGATTTGAAGGACCATGATTGCAACCGGTCTCGTGTCCACATGAATCTTTCCAAATATAAATTCCCATTGTGTCATGCTGAGCGGTTACTCAATTACCATAGGAATGGCAATGTGATGCCTAGTCATGAAACTGAAAGAGAGGTTCACATGAAGATAACGCAAATTGATGACAACAAGAAGAAGGTGGATTTCCGTGACACTATCGCTGACATGATGCAATATGATGACAACAAGTACAACTTGGTGAATTCTTGTAACGGTTTGCTTTGCCTGTCTGATTTTTTCATTAATCGTCCTGCTGCTGTGTGCAATCCAATAACCGGCGAATTTATAAACCTTCCCCATGGTCCTAAACATGCGAAGGCAATAACTTTAATCGGTTGTGGATTAGGTTTCAGTCCGCGGACTAACTTATATAAGGTGGTGAGAATTCTTAAGGAACAGACACCTGATCGCAATAAGGTGGCTGAGATACACACCCTGGGAACAGGTTCATGGAAATCTGTTGGCACTGCTCCCTGCTCAGACTCTGAGTTATCATTCCCTACTTGTGTGAAAGGAATGCTTTATTGGTTTTGCCATGGGTCGACAGGTTGTAGTGTGATTTCATTTGACTTGGATACTGAAGAGTTCCAATCGGTTCCATCACTGCCTTTTTGGAAGGGCGGTCGTGATGTGAGCATGGGAGATTTGGGAGGTAGCCTTTGTCTGTGTAAAACTAGGAGATCTGAAATCAATGTGTGGGTAATGAATGATTCTGGTCCACAAAAACTTTGGACGATGAATATATCGATTCGTACTGGTTTTCGTCGAAGGTGGCCACATGGCGTATACATACCCATGAAATACTTTGAGAATGATGGTCTGTTGATGTTTAATTCTAGCCTCAGTGCCTTCTTTTATCATCACCCAGGAAACCACAGTCCATTCATTTATCTCGAGCTTCGAGAGATGAAGTATTCTTCATGTGCTGAGGCAATTAGTCATGTTCCGAGCTTTATTTCGCTCAAGGATATTCTGGTGGGGAAGGATGTAGAAATACTGAATATCAATTCAAGGTAAGGATATTTGAACTGTCGTCTATGTTTTGATTCAGTTTTTGATTGTACATGGTTGAGTTTCATCTTTTGAGTAGAAGAACAGCATATTTGAATTTATTTTTCTCAGTTGGTTTCACTTGCTAGATATTTTGTTTTTAATGTCACAAATGTTGTTGATGCAGGTGTGCAGTGTTGAAGCTGCCCGGAGAGACTGAAGCCCTATCTCTGGTGGAAGAAAATGCCAGTTCGATATGCTTCTGACAGTTGGGAAGAATGAAACAAGCACACAATGGTGGATGGGATGCAGTCTAAGACTGAGCTAAAAGACCATTTCGTTACCCTAATTAATATTTTTAGAGTTGGACACCAGAACCTTAATTCGCATCTAACTTAGCGGTCGTCAAGTGTTTTGTTGATGTTACTTTAAATAGTTTTGGATTAGAGGTTAAACTACTTGTCATGTTCGTGGAAATACATTGCTAATTACAGGCTTTACTTATCATCATTGCTTTGGTTAATTTGGTGAGTGAAAGATTTGACTACATGTCTGCCCCGAACACAGAACTATGAGTCTATGACTGCAAAACTCAATTCGATTCTGTCTTACAGCAGCAATTACAAATAAGCGAAAGTAAATATCATAGTTTCTGTTGGCACACCAAAATCACCCAAACCAACTGAATTCACCCTTTTATCCGTTTGTAAATCAAATTACATTCCCAAATGTACTCTCACAAGGAGAGACCTTTCTTCATCCAAAGTTACTTTAAATATTTTTGGATTAGAAATCAATGAAGCCTAAGTTTAAGAACATAAAAAGAACACTTGCAATAGCAGGGGAATAATAGAGGAAGGGATTTAAAACAAGCAAAAATTTGGATACTAAGCTGAAATTAACCAAGTTGAAAATGCCCTAACTATGTAACTTTTAGAAAATACTTGACTCCTTTCTTGGAAATAGGAACTCCTACTTTCCTGCCAATCACAATTTGACATGTGTGTAAAGATTTTTGTATTTTTGATGAATTACTTTCGCAATGTGTCAAACTGTGATTTGCAGGAAGTAAGAATGCCTACTTCGAGGGAAGGAGGGAAGGAGGGAAGGAGGGAAGCAGTGCCCTTACCTACACTTAACAATTTAGGTTGCACTTCTGCCCTTATGGATTTTTGTTTTTTTTTTCAAAGTAGTTTGTAGGCATGGTTTATTGTTCCATGTTTCAACCAAATCACTGCTAGAGAAGAGGGGCTAGTTCTAGGCCATTGGCCAAAAGGGTGTTGAGATAATGGGAAAATTTAGAAAGAGTGATTTGGTTGAATGGTAATGTGATGGGTTCTCTGCATAACTGCATAATTTGTTTGCACTGTTACCAGCCATATGCAGGAATCTCTTTATTAGATCCACACTTTCACACACAGACATAAGTTGACGCTTGTCGTAGTGTATCAGGCTTCATATTCATTAGTTAGTTGGACTTTTTTATTTGGGGTCTGACTTGGTTGGACTTTTATGATGACAAAACTACATTATCACAATTTTGAAAAATAAAATTTTTGAGTTGTGTTTGGGTTGTCGATTGTCTGCTTAATTGTCTGCTTAATTTTGATGTTATTGCCAACGTCCATGAGACCTCTGACCCAAGCTTAATAGGATTTGCATTTCCCAAAGTCACCTCACCTCTGGTTGCACTTTTTGCAACCTTTCCAATCCGTCCTTTCTCTATGTTCGGTATAAGTATTATGATGAAAGATAAAAAGCATTGATAAAAATGGGTGATTGGTCGGTGTGATACTATTAAATGGTGGCCGAATTTCTCTGAAGTTGTCCATTGATTGCATGGAAAATATACGCAAGCAGATTTACTGTTATTGAGGTCGTTAGGAGGTCATCCAAGGCCCAACAAGCTCCTATCATTGAGGTTTGTTGCATTTGAGATGGAGCATGCAAAAGGCTTCCTTGGCTGGCAGGTCAGTTTGTGCTAGTAATAGGAAGCGTTGGCATTTCAACTTCGAGTTCTGTTTAATATCATCTCACCAATGAACTTTTGGCTTGATTAGAATTGAAGGTGGAGAGTTTCGTTTTCACTCTTTCACTCTCATTATCCTATCCAAATATTCTCCTTGATTTATTTCCCCTATGTTGAAAGTGGTTTTTTCTGTTAACAAATGCTTTCATCTAAACGGATCCAATATGGGATTGGATTGGCTTGTATCATAATCCATTCCAATAACAAAATTGGACAAATTAATGATAAACACATCTCTATTTGACTTACTCATGCAAATATAAACAACATTTACAACAAACATAAATTTAAACACAATTTAATATTGTATTAAGGCAATCAAATTAGCACCAATTTGGATTAACTAGGCTCATGTTTGATTAGTTACGAGTTATCAGATCGGATCGGATAGCCTATTCCACACACCTAAGAGCAGTTTCTATGGAGCCCCCCACTTATCAGTTGAGAAACATTGATACTGCCATACTTACCACATAAATTAAACTCTAGCACCCTTTTAAAGACTTTTAACTAAGTACATATGCCGGATAACATGTATAAAAGTTATGCACAATTTCCTCTCGGTTTTATAGTTAAAATAACTTTTTTGGAGCTAAACAAATTGTTCATGTACAAATATATATCACAAGGAATACTTAAAATGCAGTCCAATTCTAATTAAGAAGAATTTGCCCCTTATATATTCATGAAACCAACAAAACCAATTATGGGATTGAAGAACTGTACCTCTTTCCATCACCAACTCCACCCATTGATTCATCAAACTTGGACAGCTTGTTTCAAAACTCCTCAGTGCCCCAACACAATTACAATCCATTTCTTGATGACCCAATACCAATTGACAGCTTTGCAGCCTCTTCGAATCCAAGCGCCACCGCCGACAATGGCTTCGGAAATCTCGGAGAAGATGACATGTTCCCTTCCACAATGCTGGCAGTGGCACCAACATTTCCCGAACAGAATTTAAAAGAGACCACAACATTTGGCGCCAATAATTCAAATGAGAGCGCAGATGTCACAACATTTCCCGCGCAGAATTCAAATAATTCAACAATGACACTAACATTTAGTGCCCAAAGTCCAAAAGAGAGCGAAATGTCACCAAGACTCTGGTCTGGCCACAGCGTGCAAATGAAAGCACAAAAATGTCACCAACATTTTGTACACAGAGCCAGAGAGAGATGACAATAGCACCAACATTTTGTGTACGAAGCACAAATGAGGTTGGTGAACAAAGTCCAAAAGAGAATACAATATTAATGCCACCACCAACATTTTATGCACGGGATATGAATGGCAGCACAATATCACCAACATTCTGCGGCCAAAATCCCCGAGAGAGCAGAATGCCACCAAACTTTAACGAGAGGGTGGCGCCAACATTTCGTGCACAGAATCGCAATGACACGACCATGGCACCAACTTTTACCGTGGTGGCTCGCGATAATGAGAGAGTGGTGCCAACATATGGTGACATTGATATAGTCCTCAATTTAACCATATATAAAGCCCAGTATGTATGGAATTTACCAAGAATCAAGGCTATATTTCACTCCCTTATATTTACCAAGAATCTGTTAAATTTCAGAGAGATTGACCAGCGTCTTATTACTGGTAATATTGATATAGTCCTCAATTTAACCATATATAAAGCTCAATATGTATGAAATTTTATCACAAAAGATTTCGGTCCTATTAATAATGAACCACTCATTTTATATATTGTATCTCTCACATTCGATTCTATTTCAAGAGTACAAGGATAATGATATAGAAGAAAAGAATAATCCATCAAAAAAAGATTCGGAGAGATGAGTCAGGGATGGGACATTTAATTTACTGTTGAATGAAGGCACGGTCGGTTAAGTAAACGGACTGTCGTTTTAACTGTGCAATGTTGGCGGGAAATGGTAGAAAAGAAAAGCAAAAGAAGCACAAAGTGACAAAAGAGGTGTTAAGGGTTTACATTTACAGCCAAGTTTCTGAAGAGAGAGAGAGAGAGAGAGAGAGAGAGAGAGAGAGAGAGATCACGGGAAAATATAATAGAAAATTAGTGAAACACCCAATTCTAGACATTAAACTATAATAAAACCCTAGACTATTTAAAACATATAAACACACCCAAAATAAACCCAAAAACCAACAGCTGTCAATTTTTGGATTTATTTTTTATGTTAGATTACGGTTTTGACCTTTTGGTCTGAATTCTTTGAAACAGGCCCAAAATTCGCCAGCTAGGATAGGAATTTCTGAAAATTTACGTTGGTGATCTCATAACAGAAACCTGTTTGGCAGCCTCAGCAGATCGAATATTCCAAAAACCAAGACTCTGGTCTGGCCACAGCGTGCAAATGAAAGCACAACAATGTCACCAACATTTTGTGCACAAAGCCAGAGAGAGATGACAATAGCACCAACATTTTGTGTACGAAGCACAAATGAGGTTGGTGAACAAAGTCCAAAAGAGAATACAATATTAATGCCACCACCAACATTTTATGCACGGGATATGAATGTCAGCACAATATCACCAACATTCTGCGGCCAAAATCCCCGAGAGAGCAGAATGCCACCAAACTTTAACGAGAGGGTGGCGCCAACATTTCGTGCACAGAATCGCAATGACACGACCATGGCACCAACTTTTACCGTGGTGGCTCGCGATAA